TGTGGGAACCGACGCACCTTAACCTAATCCTAACCAACAACCCCACAGCAATTGTAATTAATTATTTAATAATTTAACAATTTAATTTAAATTATTTTAAAAAAATGAGATGCTTATATATATATATATATATATATAAGTATCAAAGATTATAAATGTCTTGACGATCAATCGGGCCAAAATCAATGGGCGAATCGTCATGACGATAAAAATTATTGCCAGTCAGGCCGATTCATACGTCTTAGTTATTAATTATTTAATTGATTTTTGTAATAGTAAAACAGATATTAGTATAACAGATATTAATCGCAATAAAGCTTATCACATAAAAAAGTGTGCAAGTAAAAACTTGCACATTGTTTCTTCATAGTTTTTAAGTGTACAAGTAGAAACTTGCACATTGCTTCCTCGTAGCTTTTAAGTGTGCAAATTATAAATTTGAACATTACTTCCTCACAATTTCTAAACATTAGGTACTTAATCAACATTTTATTTCGCTCATAAAGCTTTCTTTATGAGGAAGCCAAATTAATAAATATTTATTAATAATTATGCATAAAGAAAACAGGCTTCCTCATAAGAAAAAGCTTTATGAGCAAAATAAAATGTTGATGAAGGGCATATATACTTTTTTCGGACCAAAAAATAACATATTTCACGATTTTTTTCGGCGAAAGTATAAAAGATACGAGGACCGGGTTTTTCGCAAATGAAAGTACATATTTTATAGTGTATTTTCTGATTTTTGTTTTTTATTTGTGATGGAAAGTACTTCCTCTACAGCCCCTCGCCCTAGGCTCTGCATGACCGGCAGAATCTCCGAGCTGGTTTATCTGAAGACAAGAAATCAAAAAAGTTCTTTTTAAATGATATTTTCTAGTCGCTGTCGAATGAGATTTCCGAAATTTTGATTTTTAACAAAATGGCGATCTTCTAAACTTGAAACATCAATTTTTAACAAAAATTTTTATTTTGTTTTTTAAAAAACAAATAGAAATAATTAAACAATTACAAAAAGCATTCGGCAGAGACTAGATAATATCATAAATTTTAAGACCTTTTTTGATTTTTTGTCTTTAGATGAGCCAGCTCGGAGATTCCGCCGATACCGCAAAAACATGCAGGGCCTAGAGTGAGGGGCTGTAGGGGAAGTACTTTGCATCGCAAATAAAAAATAAAAATCAGAAAATGCACTCTAAAATACGTACTTTTATTTGCGAAAAACCCGATCTTCGTATCTTTTATACTTTTGCCGGAAAAAATCATAAAATATGCTATTTTTTTGGGTCCGAGAAAGGTATATGCCCTTTTAAGTAACGTGCAAATTTATAATTTGCATACTTAAAAATTGTGAGAAAGTAGTGTTCAAATTTGCTTACTTAAAAACTACTTCTACTTGCACACTTTTTAAATTCTTTTTTATTAATTTTAAATTAATATTTTTGTAGTTTTATATATTAAAAAAGTTCTTTTTATAACTTTTCAAGTTAAAGAAAATTTTTAATTTTTGTTCCCAGAACGCTCCAAACTTTAACTACAAAAATATAATATACTTATATAAAAATAAACTATCGCTTTGTGCAGAGGTATGTATGATTATTATTTCCGTGTATTGTTTTCTGTTCGTTAAGTTAGTGTTACTGCAATAACAGAGGGTTTTCAATTATTTATAAAAATGCGCAACAAGAAACTGCCGAGTTTGTAAGAGAGAATCTCCGCGAGCGGAACATTATATTATTAAAATACTACATCCAAAATACGACAACAATTTTCTTGTATTCTTTTAATAATATTTATTTTAATAAATTTATATATGTAAATCTTTTGCGTACTATGTGCTAATAAAAATGATTGATTTCTTCTACAGCATAATGTTTTAGTCATTTCGGTCTGTCTACTTATATAGCTTTAGTAACTTCCCGATTATTACCCTATTTATCTGTACAGAGAACGCCACGAAATATTTCACGTATTTTTTCACATTTTCCACATTAGAGATGTTCTGATAAAATCGTATTTAACTATCGTTTTGAACAAATAATAAGAAGCGATTGTGAAGATTACCGCTGATATGAGCAATAACTAGACACTTTCAATTTGTTACGCAACGCACTCGATTTAAGAGGCAACTTTGCTAAGTCGTATGCAATTTCAAAATAGTCTAAACAATTAAAATTTACTAAAGTTGATCGCTTTACCTCCCATAATCCGTAGAAACATTGAATTGCAGTAACGCCTTGCACTATTACGTCAAACTCGACTGTTTTAATTACTTTCAAAAGATCTCTCGCTGTTTTAATTTTTATCATTGTGTCACATGCGTTAATACCGCACTGATATACAAAATATGCCGTATAAAATACGCTATACTTCTGCCATTCAAGTGGGTCATATTTATTAGATTCATCATAAGTATCCATTAGATCATCGAAAACCTGAAAATAACAAGTACCTTTCGCTATATAAGAGAGGAGATACGAAAATGTGACAAATTAACATTTCCAAAAGCACATTGATCTTTCGAAAAATAGAACAAAACATTTTAAAATAGAAAAGTTATGTTTTTTCTCATTTGTTTTATGATTTGCAAATAATCGATTGATATCTCTCAGAATGTCTTCGAGTCTCCTATAATATCTACTTACGGCGTATGTTAAATTCTGCGCGAGTTTACCCTTGACCTTAATCTCTAATATGCTGACTGCGTGTACATGATGACCTTTGCGAAGTAGTCCTTTAACCAAATGCTCCGTCCAGACGTGGTGGCTAGGCTCTACCACTAAAATCGACAATGGTTTCGACGCTATCACGATATCACCCATTAAAATACAACAAATCAGAAAAATGACGCGACTCAACATTGTTGCGCAAAACTTCTCGCGTGGTCCCTCAATCAGATCTTGAGACCGAATATGTATCTGCATGCCTAGTGTAGCATTCCCTCTCTCTTCATTTCGAGATAATAGCATTATCATAATATTACTTTATGTAACTTTAGACTGATGATTTGAGATTTTCTCAACAACTTAGCTGTATCGTCATAAAAATAAGAAAAGAAAAGATGCATAAATAAGTATATAAATTGTTTTTCAGACATGAGTTTAGATGAAAATAATTGAAAGTTCAACAATTTTTGTTCTCATTATTTCCAATGATTGTTTTACTTAATTCAGAATTTTTGTACTTTTTAAATACACAATAAACAATGTATTTTTAGTTTTAGACAATAAAAAATAAGTTCCAGATCAATTTGCGTCGATCAAGCAAAGTGTCGAGTTTGCCCCGGCATTTTTTAATTTGAAAATTTGTCTTTGCGTCACTTTTCCTTTCTTGGGGGAAAAACTAAGTGACGTACAGCAAAATTTCTTTAAGCAATTTTGTACCTGAAGGAACACTCTTTAAATATGTACCATTAAATTTGCTTGAAAATTTTAATTAATTGTTGAAAATTGCCTTTAAAAAGATCGTGTCGAGTTTGCCCCGGTCTCCCTTATTCGTATGAGTTATTATTTAAGTTAAATTGTTTTAATTGTATTATCTATTAAATATTGATTAATTGTCTTGTCTGTTACAAATATATACTAATTTTTTATATGCATTAAATAAAACAGGTAAGCATTATATTGTGTGGAAATATCGCGGTTAGACATCTCATTTTTAAATAGCCGCCGGTCTTTTAGAAAGTGTTCAGTTATTATTTTTGATACATTGTTATTACGACGTAAAACCGTCACGATTACTTCGCCGAAAAGTTTTGCACATACAATTTACACTCGTAGTTTTCGCATTTCTTACTCATTCTGTATAGTACTTAAAATCGTCGTTGTCGCATGATTTGCAAAACTTACTTTTCAACTGTAGTTCCGTACGGTCCGGAACTCTTGATGCTGGACTGTTTAATGATTACGCCAATCGCGAATGGCTATAGTCGCGCATAAACACATAAGCTACAGATTGCTTAATGTAACTTAATGTAAGTTAAATATATCATTTATCATTGTCAGCTTTATGCTATCTAAATTGATTTTAAAACTCCTCTTTTGCCTTTCACACAGTCACGCCTCATTTGTATTTATAAGTTTTAGCAAGAATAATAGAATATAAAAACAATTTTATGTATTTTAATAATTTATTAATTTAAATCACACTTTGAAGTGAGTAGTATTGAATAAAATTTAGCGATATTTTTACGTGAGATTTTAAATCTTGTAGTATAGGTATACATATATCTATTATTTATTTCATTTTAATCTATAATTTTATCTATAATTTAGAACAAAATTTACATCTTTTTTAAATTAAACCAAAATTAAGTTTTAACAATAAAATGTAATAAAATATTAAGTTAAATTATATTTTATATATATTTGAATATATATTTGAATATAACTAAAATAAAATTTATTTTAAAAGTTAGATCTGTCATCGTCTTAAAATTTAAAATTTTTATTGTATAATAGTAAAAATTTATAAATATCAGTCTTTAAACAATCTCAGTTAGATTCGACAATGAATGATATTTGAAAATAAATAAAAATATAATAATAGAAAATAATAACGGTATAAAAAAATAAGACTGGCGTTAACTAACGTTAATAATATATTGACAGTTGAATATCGGAATGCAGCCGATGTAATATCAAGAGACACGGTAGTGTCTCGCGCCAAGTACACGCGAAGCGAGGTCGCACCGTGACTCTTTTACGTAACGCGTAAAGCGATAAGCGATTATGATAAACGCCATTATCTTAAAATGAGCAGAGGAGGAATGCTACACTAGGCATATAGATTATTTAGTCTTAGGATGTGATTGAAAGACCACGCGAAATATTTTATATAACAATGTTAAGGCTCCTGGGTACTCGTCGCGGCCATGTTGGAATGTGACGTCAGAAGCGATATTGCTTTGAAAAATAATTGTTGTGCAATTAATTTGAAAAAATAAAACCCAAGTGGTGCATATCTTTAAAGATATGACTTAAAGACAATTGTGTTTTCATTCAAGGGTCTTCCTATTCCAACTTAAGTAATAATATCTTCTTAATTCTCCTTAACAAAATTATAATATTACAAATAATCATTTTAATAACAAAGAATTAAAGACAGTACAAAATAAAAATATTTAATTGAAATAAAATAAATAAATTTTTTTTGTAAAAAAAACTTGGCGCTGCTTTTTTTACTCCCGTCGGATTCTTCTCTAAATTATGTTTATTGTTTTTTTATTCAATCAAAAATTTTAGTAATATTTAAATTTTAATGTGTAAATTTCAAAGTCTAGCAGGTTAGGCTGGATTTTTGGATTTATATATCACTTAAATTGAACTAGGTAACGTAATTTTGTGATATAAAATATACATAATAATACATAATACACCGTAACCGCGCGTGTGTATTTGACTAACAAATAGGTACTCGTGAAAATGTGAAATAAGGTGCTCGTGTCGGTACTAGTGGCAGATCGAGTGCATGTTTACCGACGGTGTTAGTAGATCTGTCGTTCGTCAGTTTTGTTATATACGTCATCGACATATAGTATGGTCAGTATATGGACTGCGCTCAGCTCAGGTATAGAAAAATATGACCGGTGACTCACACCGATTGAAGAAAAGAGGTACGTAGCGACTGATAGAGGAATTTGGAAGGTATAGTTGGAAGTTTTATTTGAGTGTACTATTCTGTCTAATGGAAAATTTTTACTTAATAATTTTATTTGATTTTAATAGTCTCATCGGACACCCTGTACATGCAGAATAACTAGAAGAATTATACCTAGATAAAAGAAATCATACAATTCTATTTTAAGAAAACGACGACCTTCTTCTTGGAAAGATCTAATTTAATTGACTTTCGCATCTTTTCCACATCTCCACCTACAAAAAAACTATTGACATCAGAAAACAAAAAAATAACTTATAATAGAATTTTATTTTAGAGTGGAATTTCTTGAGTTTTTATAACTATTGTTAATCACTTATTTGTTATTAATTTAATATTTTAAACACAAATTGAAAAAGTATAAGAAACACTTTTTATTACCATTATAATTATTGTAATAAATATTCTAATAATTATACAAATCAAAAGACAAAAAACAATTTCAGTATGTACAGACTTATAATTACTCTCTTGTGCTAACATTTACTGCTAAGCATTACATAATGACAATCGTGTTTAACTAAATTTGTCAAAATATTATAAAATGAGAAAACAAAATTAGAAAACTTAAATGGTCTGTTTTTATAATCATGTTCTATATTTTCTTATTCAATCTATAACAGTTTTTCACACTGGTGCATGCAATTAGCGCTTCCTTTAATTAAAAAAAAATGTTTAAATAATACATTTTACAAGAATATAAGCTAGTAACTGTACATAGAAGTGGAAGACTATTGTAAAGATCCACGAACATAATGGTGTTGAAACAAGAATATTATAGTAACAAAGTATTCAGTGATATTTGCAGCAACTTTAATAAGGATCTTTAATAAATATATTTTATAATTCTAATACGAGTACGTACGTGAAAAAATATAAAGTTGCTTTAATAAAACGTTGACGTCACAGGCTGCCACAAGCATAAATAGTTAATTTAATTGGATATTATTAAACCAAATGTTTAAATTATTAAAACAATTATCTGATGTTTTTTATTCATTAGTATAATTGATGTTAATTTTATCTCAACTTACACTGATGCTATTGATACAACATCTTTTTTTCTGTGTATGTATATACTTGTTCCAACACTAATATGTTTCCATAAATTATCTGAAACGTTATATAAGATATATGTATAAATGAATTGATATACTGCTATAAATAAAAATCATATAACTAGCTATACTATTGCTTCTTCATAGTAAATAGTAAAAATTAATGAACCAATTATAAAATTGCATCCATAAGATGATTAATGTTTGAATCATAAAATCGTTTTACGT